AAGCATGTCTGGACTTCAAGGACAGCGCTTCTCCGCTGCTCGAGGCTTGCGGCACGGTCCAGGCCGACCACACAGAGCACCCGAGGCAGCTGGCGTGGCCTCACTCATGACCTGTGCTACCCGTCGGCGGGGCCAGCTGCGGTTTCACAACGCGCCTCATTTTTGGCACCCTCCTGCTAGCCGCGCATGAGTAGGGAGACCGTGTGTGGTGTCTTCGCGGCCTAGAGCACCCTCTTGGCAGTCTATATTCCGGATTTTAGCCCTCCTGTCGCATCTGGTGAGCCGTACCATAGCGAGGACCAAACGTGTTGTGAAACCAAAGCACGGACCTGTAGCAGCTGGGAGGAGCAAAGGGCGCCCGATTAGCGCTGCGCGCGGCCGGGCAAAAAGAGATGCCGACCGTGCGCGCGCGTCCGGGTTTTGCGAGAAGGGTGTCGTCCCGCAAGATGGCATCACGCTCGCACCTGCCGACCGCCGCCACGGCGGCGAGACGCCTTCTCCGCCACCGCGGCGCCGGCCACAGGCCAGCGCTAGGCAGCTGCCGGCCACACTGGGCCGGATTTGCCGGCACTCGTCGCCGCACACTCCTACGTCCACGCCGCTGTGACGTCTGGCGACGAGGCGCCGGCCGCCAAGCTTCATCGCCAACGTGGTCGCTCGCTGGTCCTATCGGCTCGGCCACGCGTCGGCCCAGCTCACACGAGCTCCAGACAGCCACCAGTCGCCACGCGCAAAGCGTACGGGTCGCCGGCTCCCTGTTGTGCTCTCACGCTGGCCGGCGTAAAACTGTACTGGCAGTTGTCATGCCGTACCCGTCGCGTTTCGAAAGGGAGCCCTCAGTCGACGCCTCTACACGCACCGCGCCACCGCTCTCCACAACTGCTACCGTGGACATCAAGCTCCTCGACTCGATCTGCGGCTACGACGGCGCTCTAGCTGCTGGCTCTCGCGGGTGTCTGGCGACCCGCTCAGGCTTGCGAAACGACGGGCACCGGGTGGAGCGGCGGCGGCGGCGGCAGCGGCACGCGCGGGCGGACGGATTCGGACGGGGCGGAGCAGCGACCGCCTGGGCGGCCGCTGCTCTGTCTGCCAGAGCGCGCCGTCTGCGCAGCTCAAGCGCCGTCAGGTGCAGGGAAGCGTGGCGGCGCGGGGACGCGCGGCGGCGGTGGCGAGCAGGCGAGCGGCCCGCGCGCGGCGAGGCGGACAGGTGATCGGCAGGCGGGTGATGGGCCGCAGAGTGACCGCGCCCAGCGATCGGAGACGAGTCGATCGTCGCTCGGCCGCACCTGACCTCGAAGGCGTGCGGAGCGCTACTGTTGGTGTCGGTGGGCGGCCGTCATGTGGCGAGGAGGGAGGACGACAAGTGCGCGTCGTACGGGTCGCTCTTCATCGGCCAGTCGAGCGGCACTCAAGTCGAGACCGACGCAACATGACGGGTTTTGACCCGGTACTTCGAACGCCCCTGAAATCTGCTCTGCCGCCAAAGCTTGTGACGAGCACTTGAGTGTGTGTGTGTGTGTGTGTGTGTGTGTGTGTGTGTGTGTGTGTGTGTGTGTGTGGGTGTGTGTGTGTGTGTGTGTGTGTGTGTGTGCTGTGTGTGTGTTGTGTGAGTGTGTGAAGTGTGTGTAGTGTGTGAAGTGTGTGTAGTGTGTGTAGTGCGTGTAGTGTGTGTAGTGCGTGTAGGTGCGTGTATGTGCGTGTAGGTGCGTGTATGCGTGTAGTGTGTGTAGTGTGTGTGTAGTGCGTGTAGTGCGTGTAGTGTGTGTAGTGTGTGTAGTGTGTGTAGTGTGTGTAGTGTGTGTAGTGTGTGTAGTGTGTGTAGTGTGTGTAGTGTGTGTAGTGTGTGTAGTGTGTGTAGTGTGTGTAGTGTGTGTAGTGTGTGTAAGTGTGTGT